TCCTGGCAGAGGGCAGGGCAGCATGCAGGGCAGCAGGCAGGGCAGCAGGCAGGGCAGCAGGCAGGGCAGCAGGCAGGGGCTCGGAAAGGGGAAGGCGCTGGGGTTTGAGAGGAGCCCGAGGGAAGGGCGAGCCGAGCGGGATGCAAAGTCACAACGGGCTTATTCGCAGGGGGACGCCAATATGCCAGAAATGCGACAGCCCGTTCATAACTCCCTTTTTGTTGCTTTATTTCTCTGGAGGGACTGGGGAGGGCAGGGGGGGAGAAAGGGCAGGTCTAAGAGCTACCAGGAGACTGCAGACAGAGCAACCCACCAAGCCGCCTTCCTAAGGAAAAAACGGCTGAGAGCACACAGCCCTCCTACACGGCAGTTTTTTTACAGTCCATATGGATAAACTCTTGTCCCCAGCGGGTCTGTTTATACAGTGCATCTGGACACCGGGTGGGTTGCTCAGCTCGCACAGCACAGAGAACCATAAAAGAAACGAAAATCCTTATTTGCTTTCTTCATTTCCTTGTGAGGAAAGACAAAGCAACCTTTCATCCCTGCCCTGCTGATTTCCCCCCATGGGAGACGCACTGGTTTTCGCACGCACCCTTTAGGAACAAGTTCTCCACAAAAGGGTGTGGAGGTGACCAAAAGTTCAATTCACTGAGCTGGAAGGCACATTACCCCTAGAAAACTTTAAGAGGTCTGAAATCAAACAAATTGCAAGATCCTGGGTTACTTTCAGCTTCTGGAATCAGACTGGTTACAAATGCCAGGCCTGTGTGCAGCCAGTTTTTCCCAGATGTACAGACTGGTACTTAAATTAATGAAATTACACTGTGAGCTCATTGGATTTGGCTAAAATTGCCTTTTTTTTTTTTTTTTTTTTGCAATCATCAACACATGAGTGAACAACAGAGCTGGGAAAACCCAATGCCTGAGAGCCAGCTCCTGGCCAGGCTACTGCTGCCTCTGGTCTTCCTTTAGAGATGGAGGAATGTGGAAGGACAGGATGGAGAAAAAAAAAAAAAAGAAAGAAAAAAAAGTGTGACAAGGTTTTTTCTTATCTATTGTGCTCTCCTAACTTCCTGGTGGCTGAAGGACCGTTCCCAGGAATACATTAACCGAGCCAAGAACGCTAAACATAGCCCAGGAAGAAAGCAGTCCATGCCACACTCCGAGGCTGCTCTCAAATATTTGCATGATGTTCTCATGACAGCCCTGTTGTCTTGTTATTTCCTTATCGGCTCAGCAAGTCCCAGATCTTATCTGGGTTTGTTAAACAGGACAGCTACCAGCCTCTGTCTCTCACACAACCCGCAGCTCTCCCCTGCCTGGTCCACGTCAGAGGCTGTGGTCGGAGCAGGTCCATGTCAGTGCAAGGCACCAGCTCAGACCAACTCAGCACCAGCAGGGCCCGACGGGGGAAAAAAGGTTCAGGCCCCTCACAAAGGCTTAATTTCAACACAGAGAAACATGAAGGGAAGGTGATCCATCTACCACGGCTTTCATGACCAGAGTGTCTCCTTTCCTCGGGGTGGGAGACAGGCTCACAGGCAGAGTTCTCCTGGAGCTGAAAAACCTGTGTTTAAGGCTCTCCTCTGCCATTATCATCCCAAGAAGCAGCTCGAGCAACTGGTTAGCTTCCCCGGTCTCGATTTCCCTATCTGCTTGACAGGAATAGCAGTAGCAGATTCCCCCAAAGAGATGAAGATGATGCATGCACCAAAGAGGACAAGGCATGCCGACCCAGCAGATAAGAGCCGAGCACCTCAGAGAGCTCAGCACAAGATGTCTTCTCCTTTCCCCATGGCTCGTTCTAGGCAGAGTTGAGAAACAAGTTCCTACCAGCTGATAAGCACAAAACCATTCCATTTGACCAGGGTCCCTCTCCGGCAGAGAACCACCCCCTGAAAAGTTCGTTTGCTGCTGCCAAGGAAAGCCATTAACCAGGCACACGTGGGCGAGATGAGCGTCCAGCGAAGGGATTCCCATCCAGCGCCACTCCCCTCCCGGCCGGAGCTGCACAATGCCATTCCTGCCCCGCTAAGGCAATTACCAGCCTGAAAACGGAGATGTGGCTCCCACCTGCTTTGCCATCGCTTCGCTCAGACCCGTCCTGCACCTGCTCTCAGCACCCAGTCCAGCTGCCTTCTCTCGCCTTCCCCTCTTCTCTCAAAACCTGCCCCTGCTGTTTTCACATCAGTTTTTCACAAAGTGGAAACAGTGCTCAGAGCGTCCCTGTGCTTCAGCTGATGGTTTTGGATAGGTGCACTTGGGCTGGGGAGGAGGACATTTACCATCCGACCCACAAGGTGAGGCTCCTTTTACCCCACGTCTTTGACCCCGGCAAAGAACAAACCCGCCTTTGCTCTGCGAACGGCAGTGGCACACCACCACCATAAGGCACCCTCGCCTCCAGCTTCTCCTCACAGTCCCTGTGGCAGAGCTGCTGGGACAGCACTTGGAAACGATCTCCACCGCTCAGTTTAAGCTGCAGCCAAAGGTGGTTTGCACTCAGCAGGCTGGCTTTGTTGAAGAGGATTCAGAGGAACCTGTACAATTCCTTCTGCTGCTCACTGAGAACCTCACCACCAGAAACGCCTGCCTTACCTCCTTGTCCTTCAGCCCCAGGAGCAGCACCTCCTCCATGAGCGTGAGGCGGATATCTTTGGAGTCATCAGGATCATCATCGTTCAGGTCTCTGTCTGCAGCCGCATCTTCCTCGCTGTCAGGCTTCTTGTCCAAGTTCCTTCCCGCCTCAGCACGCCGTGCTCGGTGCGTTAGCGTCGTCATCTCCCCCTCCAGCTGGGCACACAGAAAACCGAGGTCTGCCCCGCTCCTAAACACGACGGGCTACGCCAGTGTTACACCCCAAGCCCCAAACCCCAGGGGGGTACAGATAAGGACAAGGGACGCTTGTCCCCTCTACCCAGGGACTTTCGGCCCACCCTTCCCAGGATGGCCCCAAGAGTCACCGGCAGAGAGCCGCCGGCCGCGGCCTAAGGATGCGCTTGCAGAGACGTGGCAGGGGGGGCAGGCGCGTGCTTTTGGCCGG